CTTTTCCAGTTTCAGCAGTCAGGAGCCCACCTGGAGAACAAGGGAAGTACAATTCCAATTTTAGCTTTTAATATTTGATAACATGCTGTACCCAGTTACCAAAACTGGGGCAGAAAATTTTCTTTGTTTGTCTATTTTGTTGCAGTCAGGAGCCCACCTGGAGAACAAGGGAATACTTTTCAAGTTTAGCAATCAGGAGCCCACCTGGAGAACAAGGGAATACTTTTCAAGCTTCAGCAATCAGGAGCCCACCTGGAGAACAAGGGAATGCTTTTCAAGTTTAGCAATCAGGAGCCCACCTGGAGAACAAGGGAATACTTTTCGAGTTTCAGCAATCAGGAGCCCACCCGGAGAACAAAGGAATACTCTTCAAGCTTCAGCAGTCAGGAGCCTACCTGGAGAACAAGGGAAGTACAATTCAAATTCTATCTTTTAATTTTTAATATTTGATAACATGCTGTACCCAGCCACCACACTGGGGCAGAAAATTTTCTTTGTTTGTCTATTTTGTTGCAGTCAGGAGCCCACCTGGAGAACAAGGGAATACTTTTCAAGATCAGCAATCAGGAGCCCACCTGGAGAACAAGGGAATATTTTTCGAGTTTCAGCAATGAGGAGCCCACCTGGAGAACAAGGGAATACTTTTCAAGCGTTAGCAATCAGGAGCCCGCCTGGAGAATAGAGGCATATATTTCAAATTTCAGCAGTCAAGCATCACTCGGAGAAATGGCAAAACATCTCCGATCACAATGCAAGGCAACAACGCAAGAATTCCATCGGAAGAATACAAGTTCAAGGCAACACAAGAGCAAGTTTGAAGACATAGATAGGACCTTTTGTAATTCATAGATCATAGCATAGGCTAACTTCCTTTTTGTTTCAACGGGGTGTAATAAGAAGGTCAGCGAGCAGTAGCAGCGGCAACAGCAGTGAAATCACAGCTCCTGGTAGTCCCAGCTACCAAACCTTCCCGAACTACAATGACCTGATTCCTTTTTAGCCGAGGATATGTAGGCAACCTTTGAAGCAGGGTTCGGTCAAATCTTTTCAAAATGCTTCACACGGAATATTCAAACGGGCAAAAATCGCTCGTTTCCGCTCACTTATCTTTGCACGAAAACTCTACATGTTTCTGAGCAAAGAGGGGCAGCTGTGAGCACGTAATTTTTGCCCTATACGAATTATTCGCAGAAACTCAAACAAAATGATTTCTTTTATTATTTTACAATTTTGTGAATTTTGTGTTATTCGCATTTTATTTGTACATTTTAATTCATATGTAAAATATAAA